CAAAATGGCAGGCGGCTACAGGAGGAGACCTCAATCTATGATACATATCAAGCAATTAAACTTTTTTTGTGTAATTTCATGTCTTTCTGCTTTTGGGGAAAACTTTGAGCATCGGTAGTAGTACTTCGAATGGGTCCCATGGTGTTATTCAGGGTCCGTGGTATTGCACTAAACACAATGAAAAGTATATGAGAACGGAGATCACTTTTTACTGTGATACCCAGTTTACTGGTGAGAAGAACTGCTCATGCAGAGGTGATTAGCCTCACTTGCATTTTGAGTGGATATATGTTCCACACCAGGCCTCCCTGAGATAGCAACAGGAAGTAGCTACAAAATCACTGCAGTAGGATGCAGTATGTACTCTAGTTAATTTTGTGCAATTATGATTTAATACCACATCTTTGTTCATATTTCTCTTATCTGTGAGTGGTGCCATGTACTGTATGTGCAAGTTTTAATGAATTTTAACTTTTATAATAGACATATATTTTATGCATTCATGACATCCTTACCTTTTTTGATATTTCTAAGCTACGTGGTTTGTCTGCAAGTTTTTCAAATGGTTGCAAATCTCCAAAAATTTTTCCAAAATTTTATAGAAAAAAGTCCACATAGAACCATGTGGTTCAAACCTGTGTTGTTGAAGGGCCAACAGTAAAATAGTTACTTCTATTACTTTTGTCTTTTAACCTTCATACTAGGCTTATAAGTAATTATTTTACTACCACCTTTCCTATATGTTTACCTTTTCCAGTAAGATTTATACTTGAATGTTTTCTTGTACTAATTAGCACTTTTTTTTTCAGCTTAAAGAAGTCCCTTAAATGTTTCTTGTAAGGCCAGTCTAGTTGTGTTGAACTTAGTTTTTGTTTGTCTGGAAAACTCTATCCCATCTTCAATTCTGAAGGACAGCTTAGTTGGGTAGAAGATTCTTGGTTGGCAGTTTTTTCTTTCAGCATTTTGAGTACATCATGCCACTCCCTTCTGGCCTGGAAAAGCTTCTGCTGAAGTCTTAATGGGGATTCACTTGTACATAACAAGTTGTTTTCCTCTTGCTGCTTTTAAGATACTCTCCTTGTCTAATTTTGGAGATTTTAATTGTAATGTGTCTTGGTGTGGGTCCCTTTACGTTCATCTTATCTGGAACTCTCTGATCTTCCTGGATCTGGATGGATGTTTCCTTCCCCAGGTTAGGGTAGTTTTCAGCCCCTTTTGCTCTCTTCTCCTCCTTGGATCCCTATAATGCAAATGTTGGTCTGTGTGATGTTGCCCTATAGGTCCCTTAAGCTATTTTCACTCTTTTTCATTCTTTTTCCTTTTTGCTGCTCTGATTGGGTGAGTTCCATTGCCTTGTCTTCGAATCCACTGATCCTTTCTTCTGCTTCATCTAATCTGCTGTTGAACCTCTTTAGTATAATTTTCAGTTCAATTATTGTATCCTGAAGCTCTGTGACTTCTATTTAATATTTTCTTGTATTTTCTTTTTGTCTTTCAGCTTTGTTGAAGTTATCACTGTGTGCATCCATTCTTCTCCCAAGTTCAGTGAGCATCTTTATGACTGTTACCTTGAACTCTTTGTCAGGCAGGTTACTTAGGTCCATTTCATTAAGGACTTTTCCTATGATTTTATCTTGTTCTTTTGTTTGTTACATATTCCTCTGTTTCCTCCTTTGTCTGGACTCCTTGTGTTGGTCTATGTATTAGATAAGACAGCTGCCTCTCCCAGTCTTAAAGGAGTGGCCTCATGTGGGAGATGAACCTTACTGTTCGACCCTGCCCTAGCTCTTTCTTGTCTCTCAAACCTCTGTGATTGTCCAAAGGGCCTATTTTATTTTTAATGGATCTCAGTAGTTGGGGGTGTGCCAAGACCAGTGTCCCCAAAGGGAAGGATCTCAGCAGCTAGACTTAGACTGATTGTAAACCAGACACTCTGGCAGCAAGTATGCAAATCTAAACAGTCCTGTGGGACCACAAATGTAAGCCCCACTGGCCACCAGAGCCAGGCGATTTCATAGTGTCACCTTGGATGGCCAGTCATAAAAATCAGCACACTAGATGAGTGTATAAGTTCATTTCTGAGAACAGCAGGCTGGAGGAAAGCAGAGGGCAAGCACAAAGATCGCATCCACTGGCCTCCATGCCCTGTGAGCACCTCTGTGGGCCCCTAGCTGTGTGCCAAACCTGAAGCCTGCCCCTAGGCCAAAGCTCCAGAACAAGCAAATAAACCTCTGTCACAGGAAGACTAGCAGTTGTTTTGGTCTGCTCTCTGTGCACTGCCCTGCTGGTGGTAGCCTGTCAAGAACTGTCCCTCCAATTGTTTAAATCCCATAGGATCCAGGAACGCAGCCCTCCCCACCACCCCCCCCCCCCCCCCCCCCCCCCCCCCCCCCCCTTGCAGCCACCAGAGCCAGATGAGCAAGGGGCATCCCCTGGGTGGCAGCCATAAAAACTGAGACTCCAGATGCATCTAAAAACCTCCTCCTGGCATGCTTGGTAAGATTTCCAGACCTTACCCAAGACCTGCTGAAGTTCAATTTTAATACACAAGTATAGTTTTGGCATTATATTTTTACCAAACTTCCCAGCTGCTTACTATGATTGGGCAGATTTGGCTAACATTAAATTATTTTTTAGAGACTTGTATCCACTGGCTCCCTCCAGCTACCATATGAACCCAGACTTTCCATTGTTCTATCTTTCCTTGACTGTGAGGGTATTGCCTGTGGTGTCCACCAGTCATTGTCAGTTCATTCATTTGGTGAGCAGGCAAGTACTAGCTTAGGGAAAGGCATAGTATTGATGCCAGGCACCTCCATGTTCTTGCCTTTGGTTCATAAATACCTTGTTTGCTCTGTGACCTAACTAGATCCCAATTTTATTAAAGGCCATATTCTGGCACTATGGGTTTAAATTTGTTCTTTTCCTTTCTCCTCTCTCTATCCACCTATATTCCAGGGTTCTGCACCCACGCTCCCCACTGTGACCCAGCCCAGCAGATGCCTATTATAGAACCTCTGGTCCTGCTTGTTTATTATGCCTGTCTGCCCTTATTTCACATTCTGCCTCCATTTGTACTCACCTTTCTCTTCCTTTCTTTGCTACTTCTTTGGAGCAGTGTTTTCTTTGACCCTCCTGTTTGCCTCGTTTGCTTTCTCCCTGCTCCCCTCTACAGTCCCCTTCTCGCCGATGGCAGACATCACTCAGGGATCATGCCAGCTTCTCTCAGATTCCAGCTGCTTCCTCTCCCTTATCTGGCTTCTCTTTTCTCCACGAGGTCACCCTCCAATGAACCAGGTGACACACGAAATGACCACTTCTTACCATCTAGACTCTAGAAGAAAAAAAAAAAAAACCTCCTGGTGGTGACCAAATAGGCCCTACCCTTTTCTCCCCTTGTGCCTCCGCATTGGTGTTCCTCTTCCCTGAATTCCGTTGCTCCTGTGACAAACCCTTTGTGAAGGCGTGTCTGCGTATGTCGTGTCAAAGGAGACCCTGTCTTCTAAGCGACCTGGAAATCACACCCACAGTCATTGTCCAGCCAAGGAAGCCATGCCTTCTCACTTTCCTGAAAGTCAGCCAGCAGCCCAGTGTGCCCCCCTGTCCTGAATGGAGCAAGCCTTGTTGGGCCGATCCCTCAGCCCTTGTTTCAGTGACTGTCACTGAAATGTGTTTGGGCAATGCGGAAGCAGCAACCTCTTTTTCACGTATGGAAATTTGGGCACCAGAGAGAAAAGGGCAGAGGGGTTGTGAGTGACACACAAAATTGTTCCACCCACTTACCCTTGGTGGGAGCAGGTTTAAACAGAGCAAAGCGTTTAATATCTGGCAGTATTTGTTGATTTCCATTTACTCACAATTTTGCTAATTTTAAGCACATTAATAACTGGCAGCTGCAGTTCAGAGCAGTTCTTTATGTAATTTGAAAGGGAAAACAAGCACTAAATATACTCTGGTTTGCCAGGCTATCATAATTGGTGAAACTTTTTAACTCCTTGTAAACAGGTATTTCTGGAGCCACTTAGTGATTTCAGCTGAGCTTTTAGCTCACGTTGGCATGGATTTTAGTGCTGCAGTCACACTCTGCCCTGTTGAGAGCATTTACACGTCATGAGCCCAGCAGCCCTCCCCCTCTGTTCTCTGCCCTATGAACTTGAGCACTAGCAGCCTACCGGTGGCTCACTCTCTGCCCCAGGCCAGGCAGAGGTCTGTCCTTATGATGGCTTCCTATCGGTATTTTTAAAATGGTCCCCTCAGAGGCAGCTCAGGCTGTGGGACTGCTGTGATCCCAAACCAGTCCCAAGAGTAGCTCCTTGTGCCCTTGGGAAGGGGAAGAAGGCCAGCACCAATCCTAACATCCCCTTCTTGTAGGAACTCCCATCTGGATAATCGAGCACCCTCACATCATCTGATTCGGTGCTCACACCGCCCTGCAGACACATCCCCAGGGTACAGGGCCAGCGGGGTCTGGGGAGAAGTCTGTCTCTCCTGCCCCAGGGGTGCAGGGGGTCCACAGGCAGGTGGGTCAGAGTCCGGGTCCCAGTCCAGTGAGAACGACCCTACTATCCCCTGGAACAGATACCAACAAGCTTCCTGGTCTGGCTTCAAACCCCAGTTGTCTGTCAAACCACACTTCAGCATCCTAGCCTGAATCCTTGACTGAAAAAAAGCAAGACACTGGAGCCACCCTGGGCCCCACTGTAGGCAGACAGCTTCCCACAAAAGCAGACATGTTGCCTGGGTGCAAAACTAACTTTTCTGTGTCTCACGCTACTAGAAATGAGATAGAGGGAGGTTATTGAAAAATGAGTTAAGACTGGAAGAAGCCAGCTCCTGGTTCACATCAGCTTTAGGACAGCCCCTCGTGGCCTGCTGGATTAGAAACAGATTCCAGACAACAACTGAGTTAGAAATCTGCTGCGGTAACAGGAACTGGGTAAGACCTTGAGCGGTTCTTCTGTGGGCATGAGAAGTATCTGATCTTTCTTCTCTTCCTGTAGGAGAGTTCTCAGCCTCGGACAGCTCCCTCACTGACGTCCAGGAGACTCGAAGGCCACCCATGCCCGACCCTGGCCTGATGCCCCTGCCCGATGCTGCTGCGGATTTGGATTGGTCCAACCTGGTGGACGCTGCAAAGGCCTATGAGGGTGAGTCTGCTGCAGACCAAACAGGACAGCACAGGACTGGCAGGGCCACGCTGGGGTTTGGGCGGTGCGAGGCTCCGGTCCGTCCCTGTCCACTCGGTTTCCTCCAACACCCCGACAGCACATGGACTTGACCGGCACAGCCAGAAACAGTTGAACCCACAGTTACCGAGTACTCGGTAGGGGCACACGTTGCATGATTTAAACAGGTGGAGCCTGCCATCTCCTCCACAGAGGAATTCACAGCATTGTGCCTCACCTGCCCATGCGTGGGGAGGGCAGGGTGTGGGGGGGAATCCCAGCTGTCACTTGACTGAAGAGATCACACGTTCAGAGAGAGTCTTTCACCGCATTGTAAAGACATCATTGCAAAGTGCGTCGTTGGATCTGTTAGGATGCTTGGTCCACTTGGCTGGCCCCAGTCTCGACAAATGTCAGGGACACTCCCTTTGTGCTCCTTGTTCACCTCTCCGGACTCTGGTAGCACATTTCCCGTGACTAAATAATGCTGTGTATGTGGACAAAAATTGTCAAATACCTGTTTTGAATAGACTGACTTCACTCTATGTTCGTCAATGTAAACTCTCTGGAAATACTCTTTAAAAAACGGTGATAGCAGATGAATGGTTTGGGGCTTGTCTTGCTCTTGCTTGAAGAATTGAATGTAGCTATTCAGTCAAGCTAGAGTTTTCAGGAGAAATGGATTAGGCCACAGAATTCAGAAGTCCGGCCACCATGGCGGAGTCCACAGGGCATCCGTCCCCATGTTAGCTGATGGTACTTCCCCAGTACTGTCTTGATTTTAACTTTCGATTTGTTGGTCACTCTTTTATCTAAGATGGAAGTAGTTTTGAGTTTTTAACGAGAGGTTTTTCAAACTTTGATTTCGTTTTCTTGGCTCGTTTTTGGTTTGGTATATTTTGGAATACGTATGGTTGGACTTTGGCTGAAGCCAACGGAGATAGCCAGCTATCTTGTGGAAAACATTTCTAGAAGTGCATTTTATATCCTCACCCGGTGGAAAGCCTTGGTCTGGAAATTTGGCACAATGCCCGTTTCCAGGGAAACATTTCATAGAATGCTACTTTGATGAGTAATGAAAGGAGGACTACAAATCGATTCACAAGTATTTTTCAAAGAGAACTGACAACGCTACTGTCCTCTTACTGCTTCAACAGTAATTTTTTTCCTACACGGGTCAGGAGCTAGGTTTCGGAGGCCTCCGCACACACTGTTCAGATCTGACCCTCGGTGTAGGCCAGTTGTTGACGTTTGAGAGATAGGACCTAGGATGTGGCTCTAACATCCTGAATGGCTTCTTCTCTCCCTTCCAGTCCAGAGAGCCTCCTTCTTTGCTGCTGCTGATGAAAACCACCGCCCCTTGAGTGCCGCGTCCAACAGTGACCAGCTGGAGGAGCAGGCGCTGGCCCAGATGAAGTCTTACAGCAGGTCGGTTACCCAGTGGTGAGGCCACCACCCTGCACCGTGTGTCGCCTCCTCTAGTGACAGCAAGTGTGGGGAAGAGGAGACGGAGGCCACGTCTCCTTTGATTAGCTGCTCAAAGCTCAGCAGCACAGGGCCAGGCTCATCACATTTTAGAACGCTTTGTAACTAAGTACTGTAAACATGATTAAACTGTTCTTGGTGACTTAGAATCACGAATAGTCATCATTATTTGACATTGTGATACACGTATGCCCTCGGGGCTTATCAGGTAAGGTAAGAAAAATCACTTGCCTTGTAGCCTTGAGCCTGGTTTTGGAATCTGTCCCTCTGCTCTCTGTTGGTCGTGCTCGGGAACATGGCGCTATCTTTGCAGGTCCCAGGGGGCAGCTTCAGAGCTACATTAGGTCTGGGTCACAAGGGTGGGTAAGAGAGATCAGATACAGAATGAAAGGCAAGCAATGACTGAGGCCTTGAGGGTTTTCTTAAGAGTTAGGAGCTGGGATTTTGACTTCCGTTTTAACTGTGTAGAGGCAGACTTCCATTTTCCCTCTGTTTCAAGCGGTGAGGATGTTGGATATATATGTGTCATATTATGGATATTAAAGCAGCCCATGGGCTGCCATGGTACACGCATTAAGCGCTTCTTGACACAGAATAATTTCATCAATTTGAAATCTCCCTTTAAAACCTTTTGAGGGCAGTTAAGAATCCAGGTATCTCTAAAACTTGGTCAGAAACAGACAATAGGAAAAGTGAGGTCGGCATAGGTTATCCAGACAGCCTGTGGGACCTGTTCCTGAAGACTCCTCAGAGCAAGTGTGCAAGGAAATGCCCTTCAGAAGAGAGAAGAGGAGGAATGTGTTGTTGGTCAGAAGTATAATGGAGGCCGCGTTCACTCCTATCATGGAGGTGTCTCTGGTGGGAGGGCTGCAGTTAGCTTGGCCGTTGAGAACTTTAAGGAAAAAACCCACCGAGGGTGGGGCCTCCTCCAACAGGGAGAAGTCTGAATGAACAAGTCCATCTTCCTAAGGATTATTGAGCCAACTAGTTCTTAAATCTTTGTGGAGTCATAAGATGAGGGTGATGGTTGGCACTTTTCTTTTTGTTCAGTGAACAAATAAATGAAGTTAAATGTGTTCTTAAAACTCAAGGCGTACACAGACACAAAATTCACTTTGCAAACCTTCGCAAGTCAGGATAGGCTGCTAAGGGTTTGAATTGGTCGTCCCCCATCTTAAAAGTTTGCAGATTCTTATCATTTCATTTGTTGCACTGTGAGTTTTTGCCTTTTGGGCTTGTAGATCTAGAATTAGGTCTAGAATTAGCCAAAGACATCAACACAGTTCGAGACTGCCTTTTCTTGATTCCAAAACTTCAGTCTGTCTGTACCTTCCCTTTTGACCTCTGCGAAGTGGTAGCCATGTGTAATCCCAGCGGAAGGCTCTAGATTCTTGGTTGTGTGACTCTGAGGTGGTGTATCTGGCTGGAACTCACCGGAACTTTCCACAGCTTGAATTCAGGTAGACAGGAGTTGGACGAAGAACAGTTGACAAGGGTCTTCAGCCCTTGCCCGGCTGTCTCATCCTCTAACGGGTTTTTTTTTTTTTTTTTTTTTTTTGGTGCCCCACTGGCCTGGCATTGCTATAGCACTTAGGTAAATTGGGAGAAAGAAAATTGCAGGCCTTGTTTGCTCATCACAATAGCCAAGGAGACATTAAGGTTGGACTGACAAGCTTTTGAAACCTCTGGTCTTCTTTTTTACATATTTTAAGATATTTAGACAAGCTTTCAAGACAAGAGCACGATACCTTAGCTGCAGCCGGATGAGTAACCACAGACTGTTTTACGGGGAACCAGAGACCTAGCTATCCTGGTTGCCCCGAGGCAGAGCTGACATCAGCCCCTCTGCACACAGAGGAGTGGCTCTCTTCTCAAAGCCGCTGGAGAGCGACCGCACTGCTTGACGGCTGTGTCTGCCAGAAAGTGCCTCTCCCGCTGCCAGAGCCCGTTCTCACTTTCTGTCCCGTATTCTTGTATTCTCTTGTCATGAAGTGACAGCGTCTGTAACAAAGGAAGCTAATGATTGGCTGCATTCACCCTTGTATTACCTTTTGTTAAGATTACCTTTTCCTTTTTAAAGTGAAAACGCACATTGGGTCACCGTACTGAGTAATCTGACATAAAAAAAAATACAGCGGCCTCACTAAAAAAGGGCCAAACAAACCCAGCCACAGAGGTTTCTCCTGACACCCGTCTTTTGTCTCTTGCCCCCAGCAGTAAGGATTCCTCTCCCACTCTGGCGTCTAAAGTGGACCAGCTGGAAGGTATGCTGAAGATGCTCCGGGAAGACTTGAAGAAGGTAAACACATTCTCAAAGTGCCTGGTCCGTGCAAATTGTGCTTGAACAAACGCCCTTCTTAAGTAGTGTCCGTGGACTGACCACGTGGACCATCTGTCCCTGTTTCCTCGGGACACGTGTTCCGCGGGCCACCTGGAGCCCGGTTCCCACTGACTCACACTGCGCAAGAAGGGCCTTCGTTGTCACACGTGCAGAGCAATTGTGAAAGCCCCCGAACCCCCGCCAGCCCCACCGAGCCCTCTCTCGGCCTCCCCACTCCTCGTCTCAGGGGTCAGTAGCCCAGACCCACACGTCTTCATTGTTAATCTGGGCTTTCACACCCCTTCTTCACACAAGAAGAATTGTTGTTTTGTTGCTCGAGTGGCTTTCACTGTGTTAAGCCAACAGCCACCAAAACAGTAGTCCAAAAGTTAAGATGGTCCTTCTTGAAGATGCTCAAGGACCCATGAATGTGTTGGCTTTCCGAAACCAACCGTGGGGAGTCTCCAGAAGACCTGTCCCCTGGTTTGAGCGAGTCTAGTACCAGGCCATGTTCACACGTTGTTAGCAGATGTTTAGGATAAAGAACAGAAGTGGGTGAAGGGTACAGACAGATCCCTGGCCACCCCTCCCAGCCCTTCTCTCCTCTCCCCTCCCTCCCAGGAAAAAGAAGACAAAGCCCACCTCCAGGCGGAGGTCCAGCACCTGCGGGAGGACAACCTGAGGCTGCAGGAGGAGTCCCAGAACGCCTCAGACAAGCTCAAGAAGTTCACCGAGTGGGTCTTCAACACCATAGACATGAGCTAGGGCAGGCTGAGGGGACAGGAGCGGGGGGCACGGGGGTGCTCTCCGGTGAGGTTTGGCAGTCCCTAGCCGTGACACCGAAAGCATTCTCTGCCTCCCCACCCCTCCTCCCCGGCCTCCTACTCCGGCCCCTCTCGGGGAGTGCACAACACGATTGCAGATCAACAATCATTATCTGCCTTTTGTAGAAAAGAAAAACGAAAAAGTAAATAAAAATTTTAAAAAGTAAAATAAAAGTTTAACTGCTAAAATGTGAATGTCTTTATTTTTTTGCACAATATCTTTATCTGTTATGTATTTAAAAAAAAAGAAAAAAAAAGTGGGCCTAGGCTGTCCTGGCCCATCTGCCTCTATTTCCATTAGCTCTGATCTATTTCAGGTAACCCAAGCTTTCCCTCCTTATCCTGACAAATGTCATTGCTCCTAATAAAGTTTTTAAAAGTTGTTTGTTTAGGGAGGGGGATTTCCTTACCTCTGTTCCTAAAACGTCCGGGGAGGAAGGTGCTTTAAGAAAACGCCTGCCTCCCTTGAATGGCCTGTGCATGAGCTAGTGCCCTTGTCCCTATCCTAGCCGCTGTGGGCAGGTCAGGGTTACCGCCAGGTGCACCAGAGACCGGGCTCGTGCCTCGGGCCACGCCCCCTTCCTGTCCCGCATTGTGACGTAACTCCTCCCCTGCTTCCTTTCCCCAGGCAGATGGGCCCCTGTTTGTCTGGTGTGACTGAGTCCCACCAGGTTGGAGTCCGCCTCTCCACGGCTTCCTGGCTCCAAACGTTCATTGGGTTCAGAATTCCTCCAGACTAAAAACTCGTTTGCATTTTGGTCAAAAGTACAGTTTTTGTTCGAGGTGTTTAAAGATGAAAATGTGGCAAAATTGGGCTCTTTGGCGCCCTCAAAATGACCATATTAATTAATCAATCCTCTCCAAAGCCAGATTTCACCAGTGTTTATAACTAGGGAAAGTGAATGTTAAACTGTTTCCTGCTTGCTTGTTAGGAGCAACGACTGTGATAACAGAATGGGCTTTGAAACCTGCATGTCCCAGTGTGCGATTTAAGCACGGCATTTGCTGAATCCCTTTGTGGCCGAAGGATTCCGCTGCAGAAATGACTTGATGTGCTCTTTGTCCTGTCTAGTGCTCTAGCCACTCTGGGTCCTCTGGTCATCGTTCCAAGGCTCCCAGTCCTGCAGACAGACACGCTGGGCCCACCAGTGTTGAGGAACCCAGGGAGCCCCTGGTGGCCTTGTTCCCTGCCTTCATAAAATGTCACTCAGCTGACACCCGGGTCCCTTCAGTGGCAACTCTGATCTAGGGAAAGTTCCGCAACGTAGTGTCCTCTGTGTGGAAGCTCCCTGCCCCAAGTGATCTCGGCTCCTTCCTCCAACCCTGACAGGAATGGGATGGGTTTTCTCTCTTCTCCCCCCACCCCCTCCACCAGACTTTTCTGCTACAGTTTCATTCATGATTGTGATTTTTTTCAAGGGATTTTTTTTTTTTTCCTGGTGACATTTCCATCACGGAAAATAGGAAGATTTCGGAGTGCTTTGTAAAGATCTCAATTGTCTGTCTCTTTCTCTCTTTTGACTTGTATGAAGGAGATTGTTACATTGCCTGATAATCTCTTTGTAAATGACAAATACTGCTAACATCCAAGCATTCTGAAGTCTTGCTTATCCTGAGTTTTTATTTTGTCTTTCATTTGTTTGGGAACTTGGGGCAAGCTATTTATTAGAGTTTTGCAACAGAGTTCTTGTTTGAAGCCTTTAAAGACTACTTGTAAAATTCAAACAATAAAATTCATTTTAAATGCTCTTTTAAAACGCTTTGGTATTATTGCTTGAGGTTTTCGCATTTCAAAGACCACCCAGTAACCTGTTGACCCTCCCTGCAACCAGTGTTTTCATCAGGCTCCCTTAACACTAAAGGATGATTCTTCCAAGTTTCTGCCCCTCTTAGAATGTTAATAACCTTTTTTATTCTCTGTTCCTCGTTAGAGAATTCCTGATTTGGCTTTTCTGCTTATAATTTAATATTTGCAGAGCACTTTCTAATTAGTTCCTTCTTCATTATCCATGTGTGGATTTTCCATGACAACACTGTCATTCCCCGAGACCAGCACATGTTTGGACGGCCTCGACCACACCACCCAAATCTGTGTTAGATGTTGTGTGCTCCGGGAATACAAATGCCTGTTAATATCAGGCTGTACAAAATATAATTAGGAAAGTTAATCTGCTGAGAAAATCATAATGCATTCCAAAGCCAAATGGAACCAAATTTCTAAAAGCTACCACATCACTGTTCCTCTCCAGTGGTGCAGCTAATTGAGAACTGACAGAGTTCCTTCCTTTTATTTGGTTCAACAATTCTACAATTTCTAGAATTACAAGACAGGGTAAGACTGGATGCCCCCAGACACTCTGATTCGCAAGCTAAAAGGGTCTGTTTAGACCATGATTCTTACCTGATGGGAAGGGCTTGGACGTGGGTTGAGAGTCCCTGGGAGAAGGTGCCATTAGCCCGCGTTGAGGGAGGGTCTTCGTGCATGAGCTGACTGGCGGGGCCATTTGGTTGTGCTTCCTGTCTGCTGCCTGTGATCAACAGATGGGGTGGGGTTGGATTACTAACTCCTTAGACGGGGATACAACCGATAGTCCAAGGGCAAAGGAAATCGACCCAGTGCGCTTCGGCCATTTCTCTCTAGTTAAATGCAGAACGAGAACGAACCGTAGTCTCACCGTAGATTCCTGTCAGCAGCTTTGTGGTGCCACTTCCCCAGCGTGACCAAAGTTGACGTGAAAAGTGCAAGATGGCATACCTGGGCCAGAAACCCATGACCAGTGAAGACCTAGGCGCTGTTCACCACGAACTCTGCTACTCTAAAAGAATGATCCCATGGGAATGTTGGATACCTCTCTGTGTGTGAATTACGCCACTAACGACCTATCCGTAAGGAGTTGTCACACGCTGACAAACATTTGACTTCGACTGGGATGCGAGTCCCATCCACTACACCGCAGCTGTGTCTGTAGGTAAGTTAACCTCATCTCTGAGTCTGGGTTCCTCATCTGGCAAAATAGTAACCATGTGATGTAGTTTGAAGGATTAAATGGAACCACCTATTAAATAAAGCCATTGACTGGCAAATTTGAAGACACAACCTGTCTTCCATCTCCAGTATGTTAAGGCTGTGATGTTGTTTTTCTGGGAGAGTATCCTGAGGTGTTAATAGCGGGGTGGGATGGAAGAACCAGGATGAGCTTCCCCCCCACTCAGTTTCCTATCAGGTGCTTTCAACCCTTTGCCGTGTCTCTTAGAACGGCGATTCTCGAATTTGAGCTTCCATCAGAATCACCTGGAGGTTTTTGTTAAAACACAGGTCACAAGGCAGCATCCCCAGGATCCATGAGTTAGCAGGTCTGGGGTGGGTACTCAGTGGTGTATTTTCTCCAAGTTCCCAGGTGATGATTTAAAAGCAGGCCTTTCAAAGAATAGGGGTAACAGGTGGACATCCGTATCCATTAATAATTAAAAGAAACAGATGCTACAGTATGAGGCTCTTACGCCATATACCTGAGTGTTCTTTTGATATGTTAGCCAACCACAGAGCACTTTGCAGGGGAAACAGGCTTAAACTATAGCTAAAGAGAGTTTAAAGACCATTTTTTAAATTAAAACTTAGTAAGTTAAGGGGCGCCTGGGTGGCTTGGTCAGGTATGTGTCTGACTTCAGCCCAAGTCATGATCTCACGGTCCGTGAGTTCGAGCCCCGCGTCGGGCTCTGTGCTGACAGCTCAGAGCCTGGAGCCTGTTTCAGATTCTGTGTCTCCCTCTCTCTCTGCCCCTCCCCTGTTCATGCTCTGTCTCTGTCTCAAAAATAAACGTTAAAAAAAAATTTTTTTTTTTTTAAATAAAAGTAAGTTGCATGAATCGTTCTGCCATTTGACTTTTAAATCCCTGTGTTAACTGGATGGTACAGGAGTGCCCTTATGCCCATTAAGGGGATGGAACTAGTTACCAGGTCAGCAAGGAGTGAACTTGGTCACCTTGGGGCGACTGGCAATTCGGATGGCAGTGCTACCTAGGAGAACAAGGCAGGGGAGAGCCAGGGAAGGGTACTGGGTCAGGCCCACAGTGTGGGGCCACACAGGGAATACAAAACCTGGGAGATGTGGTTCCAGCTGGGAGTGCTGGCTTCCACTCGCTGACTTCCAAATTCAGCCCCGCCCGCTTACCCTGATCTCCTCCGAGAACCTACCCAACCTCAAAGTTCTCAAGCGAGTTTTCGACTGCCCTCATACCTGCCCCACCTGTTAAGAAACCTTTACCTAAATCCTCACGCCGCAGACCAGCCCATTTTCTTCAGTTCTGCCCGGAAAGGGGGGAGAAGGGTTGCTTAGGCTCCATACCCTTTAGATAAGCTGTAGCTCGGAGACTCGAAGAGCCTGGCGGTCCTTCCAGAGATGATCATCGCAACCTTGCTTGTACTGGCTCCTGCGCTGACCCTTCTTCGTGCTCCTTCCCACAGATGTCCTGCCTCTCCCTGGGTTTCCCTCCGCACCCGGTCAGACTTGCCCTCCGGGCCCTCCAGCCTTGCAAATGCAGCATCTCCTCCTGTCTTGCCTTCATGCGCCCCCGAGAGCTTTCACCTTCCCTTCCCTTCTACGCCTTCCCTTTCACCTTCCCTTCCCTTCTCCTTAACACCCCTTTGGCCAAGCCTGCCTTCAGTCCTGTGAGTGTGCAGAGCTCACATTGCCTTCCACTGCTGAACTCTAAACGAGCACCTCTCTCTCTGCTCCCTTACCCCTCCTTTGCCAGGCACAGCCCCTCCTTTAAACAAATGCAGATCGTTTCATCCTTCTCTTTGGACCTCTTGTGACCCATTGTCAACCTGAATGATCTCCCAAACCAAAGAACCTAAAGCTTTGGGTACCTTCCTCTGCACCTTTAGACAAATGCTTTCCTTAAGGCATCTTGTCATATGTTCCGGGGATGCATCTATGAT